TGTTAGCTTCCAGGACAGTTTGCTAGCCTCCAAGACTGATTATCTCAAGACTCCATCTCAAGACTCCATCTCAAGACTCCATCTCAAGACTCCATCTCAAGACTCCATCTCAAGACTCCATCTCAGAATGAATCTAATATAGTTTTTTTCCTGGTTTCTACTTCCACAATGAACAGACTGGTCAAACACCGGAGCTGAGTCACTTATGCCCTCTCAATCACGGCTATAAGAACACGTCTGCATATGCTAACATTAAGGGATTATATAAATTAATATAAACTTAACACATTTTATTAACGTTGTTTTAACTGCTACTAGTGTAATTAGCAGATATGCAATTACACTAATAGTAAAAACTGCACATTCCCCACAAAAACAAATAATGAGAATGTTTGAAACTCACAAAACACAGCTCTGTTCCTCGACGCATTAGTGCAAGCATAATCAGGAGCACCTCCAGAAAACTGAGGGGTTTTGACGTCCACTTTAGTGCTCATGTATGGGGCCTCTGGTCCCTTCACAGATGGTGGTGGATCTGTCGACGCCTGTATCTGCCTGATACACTTCCTATACGTTTTAATGTTGAATCATTTCCAGAGATGAAGAGTAGATAGCAAATGTCAAACGCAAGTCAAAAGTCAATGGTGCAAGAAAGATCGATGGCAGGATTGCAGACAAACGTGAGGAGGGAGAGAGTGAGACGCGAGGAACATGAACAAGAATTAAACAAGTTGCAGAACTCTTGAGCAGTGTTTGAATCTGTTTTTAGGGGAAGTACTTTATGCAGTTATCTAGTCAATTTTCCACATAAAACACAGAGACTGACAAATTCCATGTGATAAATGGAAATTTATCACATGTTGTAAATCACTGTCATTCAGTACCTTGCAAAAGTATTCTGGCTTTTTACCTATTTTGTTACATTACAGAATTAAGTTCAATGTTTTTTAATCTGAATTTCATGTAATGGATCAGAAAACAATAGTCTAAGTTGGTGAAGTGCATTGAGAAAAATATATACATAAAACTATTTTTCAGAAATAAAAAACTGGAAATTGGCATGTGCATATGTATTCACCCCCTTTGTTATGAAGCCCATAAAAAGCTCTGGTGCAACCAATTACCTTCAGAAGTCACATAAATAGTGAAATGATGTCTATTTGTGTGCAAACAGACATTCAAACATCTGTTGAATGTTTGAATGTCTGAATAAAATAATCTGAAATCTGAAATCTGAATCTAAGTGTCACATGATCTGTCAGTACATATACACACCTTTTTTGAAAGGCCTCAGAGGCTGCAACACCTAAGCAAGAGGTACCACTTAGCAAACACTGCCATGAAAACCAAGGAACTCTCCGAACAAGTAAGGAACAGTGTTGATGATAAGTACACTACCGTTCAAAAGTTTGGGGTCATCCAAGTGTTTTCCATGAAAAGTCACACATATTCACCACCATACGTTGTGAAATGAATAGAAAATAGTCAAGACATTGACAAGGTTAGAAATAATGATTTGTATTTGAAATAAGATTTGTTTTACATCCAACTTTTCTTTCGTCAAAGAATCCTCCATTTGCAGAAATTACAACATTGCACCAAAAACCAGACATTTTCAGCTAGAATAGTCATTTACCACATAAGCAATGAATGTATAGAGTGTATTTCTTTACAGTTAACCCTTTAAGCGCCAAAGTCGCAATATTGCGACAAGCAACATTGCTCACTTAAACAGGCTGTATCTAAAAATGTGGTGCAGAATCTTGTTAATACTTTTCACCAGGGGTTAGTGGACATGTGTGCCTGTAATATGAGCAACATTTGTGGGTGTGGTTATATTGAAAGTTTTTGAGTAAATTGAGTTCGTAAAACACTTGCGGCGCAGCGGCGCAGAGGCGAAGCAGCAGCGGTAGAGCTGAGCGGAGCGAGAGCAGAGCAGAGGGAAAGAGTGTTTTTTATTTTACTCACGAGGTCTTCAGTACCAGAGAAGTACTTGGTCTGGTATTGGCTCACTCAGATTCAGAGGAGGAAGCCACACAGGTGTCCAGTGAAGCAGACAAACATTATTGGTGACGGGGAGACCGCGCCATATTGTCCACAATCAGCCCCTGTGCAGCGGCTGCTTGTCCTCCGTGTGGCCGCGGTAGAAGCATTCTGTGAGCGCCAAGCAGGGTCCGTGGTGGAGGGGACAGGGGGATCATAACACCGGGCATGTGGGAGAAAGTAGTGGGGGTAGACATCCACGGGGAACACGGGAGACGCGGGAGAAGTCGCGGGAGAGCCGCGGGAAAAAAACACATCGCTAATCGCGTTCACTGCCTTTACCAACAGCGATGATAAGGATGAAGGCAGTTCTTGAGAGAAAATAATCCACAAAAGTGGATCAGAAGTGTTGAAGAGCCTGTTGTATGTTGAGACGATCTGACAAGTTCTGAGCCCATTCATTTCATCTCTCTGTTTCTAAACGGTAAATCCTGGAGCCTCATTTCCACTGAGAAACCGCCACCTTAATGACGTCACAATATGCAAATTAGATGACGAATCAACTTCCATCCCAAAGTTTGGTTCAAACTGAAGATATTTCTAATTTACAGTATGCCTTTATCTCAAACCATTTTAAAGTTATAGCCTTTTGAAATCTTGAAATCAAAATTGTATATTTTCTTGCAAAAACGCGCCTAAAGGGTTAAGACTAATTTAAAGTTATCTACAGTGCTTTTCCTTCAAAAATAAGGACATTTCAATGTGACCCCAAACTTTTGAACGGCAGTGTACAAGTCAGGGTTAGGTTATAAAAAAATATCCAAATCTTTGATGATCACCAGGAGCACCATCAAATCAATCATAACCAAATGGAAAGAACATGGCACAACAGCAAACCTGCAAAGAGACGGCCGCCCACCAAAACTCACGGACCGGGCAAGGAGGGCATTAATCAGTCTTGCTCACTCGTGAACAAGACCATGCGATACTTGAACTCCTCCACTCTCCACCCACCTGGAGAGGTCGAGCACCATCGTCTCTGATTTGGAGGTGCTGATTCTCATCCCAGCCGCTTCACACTCGGCGTCCCAGCGCATGTTGCAGGTCCTGGTTCGTTGGAGCCAACAGGACAACATCGTCCGCAAACAGCAGAGATTAAATGGGACCTGGTCCAGTGTTCCGCGGCCGGGACAAAAACCACACTGCTCCTCCTAGATCCGAGATTTGACCATCGGCCGTAGCCTCCTCTCCAGTACCTTCGAGTAGACCTTACCGGGGAGGCTGAGGAGTGTGATCCCACGATAATTGGAACACACCCTCCGGTCCCCCTTTTTGTAGAGAGGGACCACCACCCCGGTCATCTGACCAGGAAGGTCAGATGACACCAGGAAGGTCAGATGACACGACAACAAAGTCGATCATCGACCTCCGGCCTAGGGTGTCCTGGTGCCACGTGCACTGGTGAACACCCTTGTACTCGAACATGGTGTTCATGATGGACTTCTGTGCTAGTCACAGTTTGTCCAACAACTGAACACCGCTCGGGTTCAGATCAGGGGGGCCGTTCTTCCCAATCACCCCTCTCCAAAGTGTCACTGGCGTTTCCCACACGCGCTGTGATTATTCTTTTGTTGTGCGTGTGCTGTATGTGTTGTCTACACATGTTGGATAACCAAAGGACTAAAAAAAATCTTGTAAAAAATAAATAAATAGGATTTATGGAAAATTCCTCCAATTGAGGACACAAGAATCTGAAAGGAAATATAAGAACTATAAAAACCTGTTAACACAGATTATAAGAGCAAGTAAGAAAATATATTATAAAAATCAATAGCTTTAACAAATTCTTTGTAAATGTTGGACCAGAACTTGCATCGCAAATCCTGGTAACTAACTGTAGTTCATCTAGTATTAGCAGAAATCCAGGCACAAAGTTTCTACCACCAGCTAGTGAAGCTGAAGTAATTAGTATTATAAATAGATGTGAAAGTTTAAAACGATACGATTTAATTAGGACATAAAACTTAATTCTAATAACATTTGAGGCGAGAAATACCCCCCTCTATTGCCATATCGGAGGTCTGTTTGGTGATAAAATAGAACATTGTCGGACTTTTCTCCAGTGCAGAGAGCGGGGGTCGGGCAGCGCTCAAGCCGAGAAAGAGCGTCTCAACGCAGTGGAGCTCTTACAATCTTAATTCTGAAAATCCGAGGCTTTTGTTACGGATTTTCTCTGTTATAACAGTTGTATTGGCAGTAATCATCGTTTTTACAAAGCTATATTGTATGTAAACAATGCAATATGCATTAAATGATCTTTGATTGATATATTTGCAATGTCCCTCGTTTGTGCATCACTCACGTAAATGTAATAACGTGTGTTTTCTGATGAGAAAGTAATGTCCATGGATCTATAATAATAACAAACATCAGTAAAAAAGGAATTGAACACAGGAAAGGCTTGGAACTGCTCTTTTTGAAGTCTTGAAAAGCAACAGACTGTTACTGATCAGATTAGAGTTGAATGTATTCAATTAGAACTTTAAGTACTGCTGACAAATATGTACCTGTGTAAATAATACCTTATTTTTCATGACTCTACACTTTAGACACAAAAAACTAAACACACTTAACACCAACAAGTTTTATTTTTTATTTCCAGGCTCTCCATGAAGGTGTCAGAGGCAGACCCCCAGGACTCTGCTGTTGCTCCTCCTGTTGCTCCTGCTGTTGCTCCTGCTGTTGCTCCTGCTGTTGCTCCTGCTGTTGCTCCTGCTGTTGCTCCTGCTGTTGCTCCTGCTGTTGCTCCTGCTGTTGCTCCTGCTCCTCGTCTTCAGAGATGCAGAGCCCACTGTTCTAACTATTCACAACTGATGATTAAATTAAACATAAAAATGTTTGTTGTAGTTCATATTGTAAATCTGCAGTGAAGCTGGAGGTGATGGAGGTGATGGAGGTGAAGCTGGAGAATTGAAGCTGGAGCTGATGGCGTGTGATTTTGTTGCTGTCAGAGAAAGTCAGAGTTCCATTTCACCAAAAGTCTCTGAAAAAGAACACAAACATCATGTTAAAACATGGACACCTCAAAATAAAATACAGAAATCCTTCCTGTATTTAATATTAGAGGTACACAGCAGGAAAAACATACACTGAGTGTGGCTAACCACTTTAAACATGTGGAAGTGAGACTGTCATCTGCAAATGTCCTTTATTAATGACAAAAGAAACATCTGTATAATGTGCTCTTATTTCATAATTCTACACATATTTATCAGACTATTGTATGAAAAGTGCTTCATAATAAGCCAAATATATACAGTAAATGTAAATAAATATACAGTATTCCCAGTGTTAGTATGGGATTATAAATTATATACACAATCTATTTTATATGAACACAGATACTTCGTGTTGGCATACTACATGTTAGCATACTACAGCTGCTGTCTCCATGGACTGTTTCCTCTGTGTAGCTTTAATATGTAATCTGTGGGTTTGTTTCTCCCTGTGACATTACAGATTTTGCGCAAGGAAGTATTGACGATTGTGAAAAGTTCAAATAACTTACCCGAGACTCCAACCTCCTCACTAGCCCTCCTCCGTGTCACGGTGGTTATAGTCCGTGGGGCTAATGGGCTAACAGCACAGCTTGTCCTCCATAGCTGTTGTGTTGTCTTCCGCCTCGGTCCTGCCGTGAAATGGGTCACTGGGTCATTGTTGGAGAAAGCTCCTGACTGGTCGACGCTCGCGTCTTCTCCCAAAAAGTTCAACAATGTTCAACTCGAGTGTCGGCTGCGTTGGAGGCGCGGGATGCGCGTCAAAACGCTTGAAATCTCAAAACGCGCCGCGCCAGAAGCGCAATACGCACTGCTCAGGAAGCTCGTGACGCGCCGCGGGATCTCTTGACGCTCCT